GAGATGGCCGCGCGTGTGGGCCTCCTGCTGCGCGCCCTGCCACTGCTGCTGTGGGGCGGCCTGGACGCCCGGCTGGCGGAGCGCGTAGGCCGGGAGCTGCACCGCGAGGCAGAGGTAAGGGGTGTGTGCGGGGCGGAGTGGGTCCGCGGGTCCGCGACCCGCCGGAACTTCGCACCAAGGCCCCCCAGCCGTCCCACCTGAGCTGACAATCTGCCTGACCCTCCCCCTGTCCTCCGCACCCTTCACACTTGCACACAAAGAACCTGCGGGCAGCATTCTCCCCCGTGCCAGGGCTGGGACCACACAGGCATGCGGATCTGCATGGATGTTCCCCGGACGGGAGAAGGAGGGAGAGACATGATGGGACAAACAGGCAAGAGCTCAGAGAGAGGTTGGAGCCCCTGCCCCTCACCGCCTAAGCCACGGAGACTTGGCAGTTCATTCATCGGATGCCCCTAGCGGGCCCCCGAGCGTCAAACACTGTGGGGGCCCCAGATTGGTGCGGTGGAGAGGGCACCGCTGACTGGGCTGGGACACCGGTGACAGAACTGGCTTTTCTGGGCAGGTGCCGCCACTAACCAGCTTGGGCGAGTCAGCGCCCCTCAGAACTAGTTTCTTCAACTGTGAAATGGGTGAGAGTATTATACTGCCCTGAAGAGTTGCTTCCGAGGGGGCTTTAAACAGTGCTCCTGGGCTGAACTTAAGAAGAGGGGGCAGGGAGATTTCCCATTTCGGTTTCCTCCTTTGGACTCAAGTGCTTTTCTGTAGACTGCATAAGCAAGTACTTTTTGTGAGGCAGGAGTGGGGGTGGACTTGGGACATCTATTTTCTAGATTAAGGCGATTGTAATAATACACCAGTATAATTTCTTTCTTCTCCGAAGAAGCGTTTCTGTCTGTGTTCTTAGCTCTTTGCAGGAATAGGACTAGGGTCTCTACTATTTAAGGCAAAGAGATGCCAATGAGTTCTAAATTACTGAGCCCGGCACTCTGCCCTGAGACTCTTGCTCACCTAAGAGCATCATTCCTTAAAAAGAAAAAAGAGCATCATTCCTGCTCTAAAACTGCCAGTTGAGAGCTTCTCACCATCCTCCCACTCCTCTTGCCTAGAAGAGGCAGGCTGAATTGGGAAACTGGAGGAGGCCCCTCTCTGAGTCGTTCCTTCCATCAGCCAGCTTCTATCACTGCTCTGGAATACCTGGGAAAGACCCTGCTTCAACAAGAAGGTCCTTTCTCAAACTCCCTCGCCCCCTCCCCTTCCAAGCACTGGTCTCTTGCTTTGTGCTCTCTGCTTATGCACATTTAAGAATCACTTTGTTTCTCTGAGTTTAGAATCTTACAACATCAAGGGCAGAGTCCTTGTGGCCCCAGGAGAAAGCTTCTGTCTACCAAGCCAAGTCTTGTTAAGAGTCCCACCCCACCTCCCCCAGAGTCCAGGTCCCAGGCAATCCTTGGCAGGAGAACAGAGACAATATCTCCGCCGCTCATGCCTGTGGTGGCCCCAGATGGAGAAAATTTCATCTTGGGGTGTGCTTGGGAAATGTAATATCTAACAGATTGAGTCTCTTTCAGTCTATTTAACACAATTGGGGGGAAGGGGATTTTTAACTCTGAAAACAAGAAATATTTTAAAAGCATAAAAAACTCTGGAAATGTGTAATGGGTGCGTAGTGCCTCCATAGGCCTATGCACGTACATATATATGCATACATATGTAAATGGATATGTGTGTGTGTCGGTATGTCTATATGTGTTTCTGTATATGTATGATCAATTGCATGGTCTTCAGTGTCAGACGGACCTGTATATAAACCATAGGTTTAACCTCTACGGACCTCAGTTTTCTTCTCTGTACAATGGGGGTTAATAATGACTATTTCACAGGATTATTGTGTGGTTTCATTAAGATCAGCCCAGTCCCTAATACACAGAAATCAGTCTATAAAAGGAAGTTGCTCTCAATGTGTGTGTTTTTAATTCTAAGACATTTTATTTTTTTAAATCCTCACCCGAAGATATTTTTTCCATTACTTTTCAGAGACAGTGGAAGGGGGAGGGGGAAGAGAGAGAGAGAGAGAGAGAGAAAATCAATGTGAGACAGACACATCGATTGGTTGTGCAAGCATCCCAACTGGGCCAGGCCGGGACTGAGCCTGTAATGGAGGTACTTGCCCTTGGCAGGAATTGAACTGGGGACCCTTCCGTTTGTGGGCAAAAGCTCTAACCACTGAGCCAAACTGGCTAGGGCACTCTCAATGTTGTTGTTAATATCTTTACCATTATTTTAGAGAACAGAGTTTCAGAGTCCTGGCTTGGTGATTAGCTCTCCTAAAACAATGACGCAGGACAAAACATACAAGGCAACTGTTTCCAGCATGGAACAACAGACAGCACAAGGCTGTAATTCCTGAGATGGTGTTGCAGTTACTATGGCTACATTACACACTACCCCAAAACTTAGTAAAGTAAAACAACCATTTATTATGATTATTGATACCGTGGGTCAGAATTTCAAACAGAGCACATCAGGGCAGCTTATCTCTGCTCTACAGAATCTGAAGATAGAATCTGAAGGCTGTTCACTCACCTACCTGGTAGTTGATGCTGGCTGTCAGCTGGGGACCTCAGTTCTTTCCCATACAAGCCTATGCACAGGGTCTCTCCATGTGAGCTAGCTTGGGCTGCCTCAAAATATGGTGGCAGGGTCTCCAGGATGAGTGTTCTGATAAAGAGAAAGGGGGGAGGGGGAGGGGGGAAGGAGAGGCAGAGAGAGAGAGAAGCAAAAGAAGCTGTGCCCTCCTTATGACTTAGCCTGGGAAGTTAGGTAGCATCACATCTGCTGAAGCAGTCACAAACCCCAGGTCAAAGAGAAGGAACATGGACCCTTGTGGAAGGAGTGTTGAAGTCACATTGTAAGATGAGCGTGGAAAGGGGTCGTTTAGAGAAATACAACCAGCATAGATGGGAACACACAAACAAAGTAAGTCCCACAATCACTCCAGCTCTTTGCTCAGGTGCAATTCCCTGACCACAGTGCAGGGAGCTAGACCCCAGGAGCACATAGCAGTCCTACTGAGCTCATGGACAGAGGTCAGATCTCAGGACACAGAAGGAAAGGGATAATAAAAACAAGCTGTGTGATCTTAAATTATTTCCTTCACTTCTCCAGGCTGCAGTTTCCTCCACTGGGAAATAAGGGAGTTAATTTTCTTAAATTACTTAAATGACTTTTAAGATTCTCTCTAGTGCTAACATTCTTTGGCTTTGGTGTGTTTGTATGCCTGTGCCTGTGCCTATGCGTGTGTGTGTGTGTGTGTGTGTGTGTGTGTACATTTCATCAGCCTGTGTGTCTGTCTGCCTGGATGTGTCTGTGTTCCCATGTCTCTGTGCATCCCTGTATCCTGTGTGCATGGCTGTATGTGCCCCCTGTGTGCACACAAAGTAATCAAGTTGAGGGCTTTCCGGAGTGGGCTTTGTCTGGGAGGAAACTGACTGCTTACAAAGCTGCATTATGAACAAGTTCATTGTTGTCCACTTAGAAAAACTAGGGCTGCTCACAATGCTAGTGAGTAGGAAGGGCCTCCACTGCTGAGTAGCAAGATTGAGGGTCAATGAATGACATCATCACCCTGGCCCCACTCCCATTCCCAGTCGGGCCCTACCCTGTTCTTGGGTGACACAGACTATCCCAAAGGATCTATCTATCTACCATGTTTTGCTGAGACCTTTCTTAGAACCACAAGGCAAGTATGTCCAGGACCTGCCTTCCACTTGGTAGTCTATGCAGATCTGCACAGCCACTCCCAGTGTGCTGTACTAGAGGAGCTGGGGAGTTTGTTTCTCCAGGGAAACATTGACGCTTCTCTGAAGTATCCACCCCCAGATGCAGTGTCTGCTTCTCATACCCCAGAGCCATTTATTTGACTTTTAGTGAGTCAGAAACTCAGTAGCCCGGGTGTGGAAGCCATTCCCAAGAGCTCAGCTCAGTGACTCATGGGTACAGGGTGAATAGAAGTGCAGGAGAGCTTGTGGAGGGTCCCAAAGGAGCAAGAGTTGGTGGGAAAGCAGTTGTCAAGCCAGCTTGAAAACCGAGAAATCTAGTAAAAACTGCATGGTGGGAGCATGAACAAAGAACAGAGAGACAGGTGGACAACTCTTCCTAAACCCAGCCTTGGTTAGGGCATTATTGTGTGCCTTAAACTTAGCTCCACAGACCTAGCAAAGACCACGGGTCCCTATAGGATTAGAAAAAGTACAAGATGGGGTCTGGATGGAGACTGGCAGCTAATATTTCCCGATATCTTTAAGGATGGAAAATGAAAGAAGAAGCAGGAGTATAGTAAGAGGTACTCTAAGCCCTGGCCAGGTGGCTCAATGGGTTGGAGCATCATCCAGTGCACCAAAAACTTGCAGGTTCGATCCCCAGTTGGGGCACATACAGGGGACAACCACTTGGTGTTTCTCTCACATTGATGTTTCTCTCTCCCTCTCTCCCCACCCCTCTTCCTCTCTCTCTAAAATCAATAATAATTTTTAAAAAGGAGGTATCTACATTACACCCAGAACTTTGTAAATATGAAACTAAGGACAAAGGAAAGGAAGAGCAGAGAAAGGAAGTCTAACAGAGGGAAGGGCAAACCTCTGTCCAAAATAATGGAAAGCGACCAAGTTGGTCCCACTGCCCTGAGACCTTCAGTAAATCCCAGGTGCCAGAGAGCAAAAGCTAAGCATCCTGGAATCAGATGCTTGTCTTTGTGAAGGAACATGCTTCCCTCCTGTTGAATACCTGTGGCTTGTCAGACGACTAGTTTGGGGTGTGGTAGGAATATGATCCCAGCCTCTACTGAAAGCCAAGTCCATGGCCTGAGCAGCTTCTTCCCTCTGCTCTGCCCCTGGACCGGCTTGCAGGGGAGACAGAAGGAACCCAGTTAGAAAGAGCCCCAGTTTTGCCTTTTTCTTCTTTGAGAGCTGTCTCCCCAGCGAGGAGAGCAGCTTGGCTCCTGCTCCTTCACTTTTAAAGCCTCTGAGTCACTTGTTTAAATGTGAAATAAGACATCCTGGATAGGTGTCAGAGGGTTCAGACTCACATACTGGTTCTGTTGCTCACTACGACCA